TAACCAAACCCAAGGATTTTGGGTATATAGTCAACATTCAGCAGGGCTCAATGATATGTATGTATGTATCAGTTTCTTAAGAATAAGGGGAGTTCGTAAAATTTGATATCAACTTTATAAAGTTCAAGTAGGGGCAATGTTCAATCGACAAGAACTCCAAAGATATTTTCCGTGTATCTTCTTTTTTAGAACATTTCCATGCATAAAATTCCTTTTAAATTTGCATAGTTATTTCGGAGATGTGAGTGTATATATATATATATATATATATATATATGGGATCTGTTCTAAATATATTAATTTGAGTTTTTCTTTTTTCTTTTTTTTATTGATTCATCAAAATATTCCGCCAATATTTAGTGGAAGGTCGGACATTATTCGTTCCCATCTATGACTAGAATGTCTCTTCTCATATAAATTCCATGCAGCACAATACGGAACAAAATTTTATGAACGAATTCATCTTCGAAATTCCTGTTAATTGATGTTTTTTATTCTATTTGTATTAAAAGTGTTTTAATTTGTTAGAGAATTCTTGGACCGGAAACAATTTTCTCTGCAGACAGATTTCCACTTAATCGAGTCTGATTTAGCAATTTTTGCTGAATTTATTTGTTAATTATCTACGATACGCGATGTGAGAGACGGTTCATGCCCTCTACAGAAAATCCATCTTCTACTTTAATTGATATACAAGTCGTTACTTATCATTCTGTTATCGTCTGTTGCAACCGTTACACTTTTAAATATTCTTATTTAGTGTACTTAAATTAATGGCTAAACCCATGGAGCAGACCTCTTCTCAAGAAACTAACATTCGTTAAGCTAATGAAGAATTTGCTCGTTTTTATGGAACCCTAAAGGTATATTGACGTGTTTATAAGGCCGCGCCACTGGACATTATCATTATCCAGATTAATTCAGTAATCATGCCCTCACACGGCTTTGTCGAACATAGCGTACACTTTATAATTGTCTCAACTCGGCCTAGGTATTCCAATTGTTCATATATTTTCAGGATTTCCAACTCAAATTTTTTATGCATTCCGGAATCGCCTTCATGTGATCTACACGTCTGCCTCAACATGCTTCTTTATTTGGTTGCCGTAATAATATTTGGCGAACGTTATGATGGAATAAAACCATTAAATAGATCTGTATAATGTTCGGTTTTTAATTGGTATAGAACTGTAAATCATGGCATTAAAAGTTACTATCTTGAAGAGAGTAGTACTTGTAATTTTTTGTACTATTTTCAATTACTACGTCCGAAAAATAATAAGGGATATTGCTTTGGCGTGTTGAATCAGTCAATATTGTAGTGTTCTATTTCCTTTCAGTTCAAGTGTACACTGACCCCAAAGACCTGCGGCTCTATAACATCCACTCCCGGAAAGAGGGAATAAAGAACAGTGTTTTATGCATGACGAACATTGCTAATGCATGCGTTGAAGAGAAGGAAAGAAGATGACGTTTTCTGTCTTGCAGAAAAATTATTTCAGACTGTAAGAACTAAATTCTTTAACATCTCTGGCAGAAACGAAATATTTCACCCCATGCCCCAAAGTCAACTTTACATCTCTCATTGGTCATCCTTTCAAATCAATCAGTTAATTTGTAATTAATTAACTTATGAAGATGTTCTTTCGTTATTGTTTGATTCTTTTATCTTTCGCGGAGATATTACATCGCCCGTAAGAGATTATTACTTAGATATCAGATTTCCAAGGCATACCACGCAACAGAATATTTCTTAGGAAGCTAATAGTATCTCAGATAGCCAATAAATTCTCTATTACGGAAACCGTAGGTTCATTAACGTGTTCACAAGAGACCACCACTTGTCCTTATCTTATTTATTTATTATTTAGTGTTCTGTCTGAGGACAGGTCCATATGAACAGGATCCTTCCATCCTTTTCTCGGACTGGGACCTGCTCATATACGTTCTTGGCAGATGATCCAGAAGTAGTTTGCCATTGCCTTCTTCTGTGTGTGAATGGAGTAATTGTTGGGATGCCACGGAGGAAAACTCCGTGTTGCCTAGACCACGGCCTTGCCCAACACAAGTTATAAATTCGGGCACCGCCGGGAATCGAACCCGAGACCCCAGGATTACAAGGCCAGAGTTCTAACCGCTAGACCACCGTGGCGGTTCGTCCTTATCTTAAGCGATATTAATTCAGATGATGGCTGTATTTTGGGTTGTTGTTCCGTGTAGTCTACTCATTTCCCTGCAAGTGGTCTTTTCCTTTCAGACATTCCGACGAAACGTTGCTTGTTTCTATAATGCCGTTGTGTCATTTCTTCAATATTGTAACGTGCAGAGTGAAATGAAAAAAAAACATTAAATGAACGAAGGAAGAATCAAAGAGAATGCTAGGAGAACACAAGGAAGGGGGAGTGAGAGAAGGTGGTGAGTGAAATAAAAGATGGTAGTAAAATTAATTATTTTATGGTCAAAGGAACGAAAAGATTTTCGTAATTTCTGAACGCTGGGAAATTATTACCAGAAGCAGATAATTAAATACGTTGCACATCTTCTCTGTTGAAAAGGTGTAAAATAAATGTTATTTTGCAGAAATAGGTGATTGTGTTCAGCGCTTTGGAACCAATTACTATCCCTCATTTCGCTCAGCTGCACATTTTAATTTGAGTTCTCGAACGACAGAGTTTTTTTTTTTCATTTGTGTTAAATAAATTCAACATAAATGCCAATTTTTACTTCACTATAACAAATGCCCTAACTTAAGAGAACTCATGAAACACTGGTCCAAAGTGATATGAAATTTGACTTTGTGAAGCAACTGGAAAACGCGTGGAAAGGCCTGTTTCAAAGGAGCAGGCTTCATGTAGCAGAATCTTTGAAAGGCTTACAGCTAGTCAAGAAATTTCTGACCTCTTATGGAACCCAAAGGTTTATTACCCTATTTTACGGCAGCTCGCCACCGGAATTATTCTGTGACAGATTAAATCAATCTACACACTCCCACACTGTTTCCGTAAGTTCCATTTTAATATTATCCTCCCATCTTAACTTAAGCATTTTCTTGAGGTTTCCCAACTAAAAATTTAAAAGCATTCTCATCTACCCCATGCGAGCTACATTTCCCACCCACCTCGCTCTCCTCGCGTTGTACAGTGTCCAGTTTATCATGAGTCCGGGTCCCGTACGGTGTTAGGACAAGCAACTTTGCAATACATGGTTCGGTGTGCAGTGAGATAATTAATAAGGCATGCATTCTACTGTGCCACCAAGTGTAAAAAGGGTGTAGATATGAGTCTGGCATATTAAACATGAAATGTTACTTATATTGACCACTTTGGAGCGAAATTACTTATGGACTTTTAATATGCCAATCACATACTTCAAACACAGCAGGTGTGATCTACAAGAAGGGAAGGTCACTGGTGATTTTTATGACATAATCGAACCTTCCGGGTCAATGGGATGTTGTATGTACGTTATGAACAGCGTTACCAAATGAAAATATTCTGATTCGTTTGTTGTAGGCTACCTTCAGTCAAAGCACGATGTGATATCTCTCCATCCATTCATGTATTTCAGTAACCACGAACTATTTGCGAATTTTGATAGCGCATTCTGGTACCTCAAATTTACTACACTAAGGGCGTGGTCTGAATATCCGACTTTCGAGTCCAGACAGGGACGTGGATTTGTGTCTTCGCCACAGGGTCTGAGGCCCTCTTCTCCGCTGGAAAGCCACTTGAGCGTGCATCTGACTATATCCTTTAATTGCATAGGCGAAATGAATGAAGATTAACCCCCCCCCCCCCCCCCCCCCCCCTGCGTGCTGCATGTCTCACCCAACTCTTCTTGTGGTACTTAGGGCCAATTGTTTGACAGATACGAAGCTGAACACTGACGTTATACCTACTTCGTATTTAGAAGGTTCAAGGTTAAAATCTCAGCTCAAAGATTAATTACCCTGACTAAAACTTGCAGTCATTTACATTTGGGATAATACCGTAAAATAAGCCCAAAGTGCTTGTATTTACATCTTTGTCAATTTATAACTCAAGGACGACCTTGACGTTAGACGTAATGCAACGAGTTTTCTATATAAAGCAGCCATGAAGCGAACTGGTGCCTTGACGATAGCCCCCAAATTTACAGGAGAAGCATCTGAACGTGCCTCCTGACTACTAGCTCGCGAAATAAAACTCAATAATAAAACTTAATGTACAAAATCTGAGGCTTGTAAGTCGTTTAACTTGGTTACTAACAATTAACACAAAAAAAAAATCAGTGGCGAGGGTTTTATGTGAAAACGATAGTGAATCTTGAAGTTTTATAAATAACGAGAAATTTCTTGACTAGCTAAACGACTATTAGTTTTATGAAGAAGGACTTTGCTCCGTAAAATTAGTTAACGGACATTTGGTATGAGCAGGCTACTCTAAATTTCACAATAATTTTTCGCCTGCCTCTATAATTTGTATTTAATTTAAATTACCTTAATTAAATGTCTGAATACGAGTTCTTAATGTAAAAACTCTGTAGGTAAATTATATGTAAATATGTTTGTATTTTATGACAGCCACAAGACAGGTAACTTTGACGAGTTAAAGGTTTAATCAATATATCAAGGAATATCAATTATGCATACAAACAAATCTCTTTACACTCTGAAGGACAATTAATGCTAAACGCGTTTCGATCTCAAGAGGTCTTCATCAGTGGCAAAACAAATTAACTCATATACAATGTTTGGCATTAATTGTCCTTCAAAGTGTAAACAGTTTTGTTTGTATGAATGTTTTATATTCCAATACACCACACGATATGCAAGGTTTTAAGAAAATCCCATTGACGATACTGAGTGGAATAGAATTAAGAGGCAGAACATGATCTGAAGACCATCAGAAGCCTTCGTAAAATTTTTGCTTTGATGGGAAGTGGGAGAAGAGACATGGTCTGGTTGAAATTAGTAGTCTGGAAACAGTAAGGTTGTAGAAGGATAGCTATAAAAGTAATTTGTTCCGCTATGTTGCGAATGACAAGATTCTAAACGAGAAATTTTGAGTTTTGAAGAAAAAAAAAACAGTGGATAGGAGGTACAATTTTAAAATGTCATAAAAAAGGGAAAAATTATTAAATGAAACAATTGGCTTCTTTTAAATGATATTGCTAATTGTCAATTTAAAACAAAGGAAACATAACAGAGAAATATAAATCAAATAAAGAGGCCCTACCAGTAGCTCTTGGGATCACTGAGGAACTCAAGCCCCACCATCACGACAAGGTGCAGGTACCATTTAGTGAGAAATAATAACAAATTATCGATGAATATAATAAATAAAAATTATATCAAAGGGGTGAAGAACATGGAGAGTAGGGTCATATGTGGCAAGAACCACTGGTTATGCGGAAGTGTCCTATCAGATCTGTAGTTTATTAAATTCTATTTTATTTAGAAACATATTTATTCATGGCAATCAAAGTCTAGCGGTTAGAACTCTGGCCTTGTAATCCTGGGGTCTCGGGTTCGGTTCCCGGCGGTGCCCGAATTTATAACTTGTGTTGGGCAAGGCCGTGGTCTAGGCAACACGGAGTTTTCCTCAGTGGCATCCCAACAATTACTCCATTCACACACAGAAGAAGGCAATGGCAAACCTCTTCTGGATCATCTGCCAGGAACGTATATGAACAGGTCCCAGTCCGAGAAAAGGATGGAAGGATCCTGTTTATATGGACCTGTCGTCAGACAGAACACTAAATAATATTAAGATGATCATCTGCCAAGAACGTATATGAACAGGTCCCAGTCCGAGAAATGGATGGAAGGATCCTGTTCATATGGACCTGTCGTCAGACAGAACACTTATAATAAAAAAGGCGACTGTACACTCCTCAAAAATTACTCTTGGAGTCGGTCTACTATGTTAGCTACTGGCCATAATATTAACCGGTGGAATTCAGTCGGAAAAGTAGGCCACATTTCTGAACGGCTAGTCTACAGGGTTTCTGGTGCAGGGCGATTGAAAAATACAACTAGCTACTATTTTCCATCTACTTCCGATAATAAGTATGCGTAGAGTCATCCTTCTCCCTTTCACAAAGTAGTCCGCACACGAACTCCTTTCAATGTTTTAATTTAATAATAACAATAATAATTTATTTTTATTGGTGATTTGTCTAGAAAAGAAGAAGCTGATGATGGCATTCTTTGCACTGCTGATGGTTATCAAGATGATCAAGGTAAAGCTTATGTTTCTCGTTCCAATGCTTCTTGGGGTCGGAACTGCGAAGAAGCTGTTCCTCAAGCTGCTGTTATTCATCTTCCCGGCCTTCGCACACATCTTCAAATTCTGTGCCTATTACCACGCAGCGCACACAAAATTCCATCATCATCACCACCAGGTGAGTCGGGTCACATGATTAAATTTTTATTTCAATTATAACTGCCCCATTGCAATAGAACGAGAAGTTGCTTTGTCGATCAGATGGCGGTCTTCTGGTTCTTGACGCAGCATGTTAATCCGAAACCTTGTTATACAGGGTGTTTCTAAATAATATGCTATAAATAATACGGGACCTCCAGGACGTCTCAAATAATCCTATGAACTTGGATTCGGAAATCCTTCTATGGAAAGTTACAAAAGAATAGATTATAAAATGACAGCATGTTTGAAATGTGAGTGAGTATTTACGTGTTGCACGTGTCGTAACAAATGCTTGAAATGTCCTCAGAGGTTATGTGCACATGTGTTGGTATGACGTCAGACGAGGTTCTTATGCGTTTGAAACACCCAAGGTGTGATAATTTTAAAATTTTATACTATGTTTTTCAAAATCATTGAAGTACCTATGTTGTCTGACATTTTATTTTTACCGTTATGTTGGATTTCCTGTATCTTTCGTGGTATATAATTTAGAATCGTCCTGTGTAAACAGAAGAAAACACGATGCAACATCGTGTTCACAACAGTTAGACACTTGATCCTGTCATGAGCCATTTGAATCCAATTCGTTCCCTCATATACATTTTAATATCATTCTTCCACCGATGTATGTTTTCGTTTTACGTGGCAGCTAATTCAACCATCGTTTTTGGATTATTCCATCTTTTGTTATCAGTGATACGAGGTTCTTACTGCAGTGGTAATATCGATCGTTGACTGTTGGCTTCTGAAGCAGGGGTTTACCACCTACAATTCTACTGACCATCAGCCCTCGAACAAACGTACTTTAAAACTAGGACACGGATCTAGTTCACAAACACAAAACTGATTCCGGCAAAACAATTGCAGTTAGCCTGTAACATGGTTCCGGAATGTAGGCTTCGGTACGTTAGTGTGTCGAAGCTTGCGATTAGTATACCACTAGTTAAATCCTAGAAGACAGCGAACATGAGAGCTTACTTGTTTATACAAATAATAAATATTCTAGTGCCGATGTGGGTAAAGCATATTAAGTTGTTTACGTTTGTAATTGGATAGCATTACAACTCCGAAAGGGTGTCACTTCAACAACCATACTCACTTATGGTCTTGCTCCTAATTCCTTTCGCAGACTGTCACATAATAAAGGCAGTAACAATATTAATACCAGTACGTGTTTGGCCTTATATTAAAAGTAGGGCCACGGAAAAAAGAATGAGACTAAACCTATTAACATGACACGAAGTGGTCCAGATTTAAAGTAATCTTTTGTGGAAATAAACAAATCCACTGAACAGAGTCTTTTCTGTGAAAAGAACGGGCAAGTTTCTGATACTTTATGGCAAACGAACGAATGGTATGCATGTGAATCCGCCATTGGAACCTATACTGAGCCGAATTAATCTAATCCACGCCTTATTTTATAGTTTTTTTAAAGTCCACATTAACGTTAATCTTCCGCGTAAGCTTATATCTTGATAGCGGTCTCTTCTCTTTAAAATTACCGATTAAAATGCCTGGGCCACGTCGTCTGCTAAAGAAATGAGGTTTCTGATGAACGTAGGAGAAAAATAAATCCCGGAAACGCTTTGCTGTCATTCACTTCGAAAAACTGTAAACACGTCCTAAATTTTTAAAAAAAGAAAAAGGTTATTCGGAATTTTTTTTATAAAACACTTCTGTTATTTCAAATAGCTCAGTCAGTATAGTGACTAGCTACTGGCTGGACGACCGGGGTTCGATCCCCGACGGGGGCAGAGGATTTTTCCTCTAGCCTCTGCGTCCCGACCGGCTCTCGGGCCCCCCCCATCTAGTGCCGAGGTCAAGGAAGAGAGGAGCTATACCTCCACTCCCCCCCAAGCGCCTACATGGCGTATAATGGGACAAACTTTACTTTACTTTTTTACTAATTACAGTAAGACAGAAGAACAGAGCAAATCGTGTATTAGGATCAACAGTGTTATTATCTGGACACGAACTCCGTTCGTAGCTCGACATTCATCCAGACCTATTGAATAGGACAGAATTCCAATCCATGATAGCCAGATCGAAAATGGGGCTGTCCGAAAGCGAATTTGATGCGTTGAATTAACTGTAATGGTACGACGGCTTTGACTTCTGCAGAGGTGTAAGACGGAAGCGTCTGTGTCGTGTTTCCCCGCATACCGCCGGTACGTTTGATCTTACAACCATCAGACATCGAGGAATTGGCAATAAAGGACAAGGGAATTGGCATACAAACAGACCTCAGATCTCTGCATTTTCCTTGAGGCTCCCTATATGAGGAAATGCAAAGTTTCCAGTACCTAGAGTCTCAAGCAGCCAAGATGTTCATACGAATTAAGGCGACACGAAATGCAAAAACTAAAGTAGACACTGTGTCTAAGCACCATGGAATGCTGAGTTACAGGTCAAACCCTTGAGGAAGAATGGCTAGAACACGCAGGCCTCATGAACACAAAAGACATTTTGCTGCAAATATTGTAGACGACAAAATGAAGGAGTATGTGATGAGCGGGGAAATAAGAAATTTATAGAACACTTCAGACCAGAAACCAAAGAGTAGAGACAGCTTGAAAGACAAAATTAATTTTTTCTTTTAAATAGTTGGGCGTCATGATGAGGATTGGATTAAACTGGCTCACGTTAGTGTCCTTTGTCTGAATATTTTGAATATGGTAATTAAGTTTGGAGTTCCTACATAGTCTGGAGTCTGTTGATTGGATGAAGGGATGTTTGATTCTCGAAGAGAACTTGATCTAATTGAGTTAGTTCAGTGGTGAGTTGCGTTTGTTTACGTTACTACTGAATTCTTATCTGAAGAACAGATTCGTGAATTCGTAGCAGAAATTCAACGTTCCAAATACTTATTCTGTCTAATCTTCAGGGAATTATATACGAATTGGCATTGTTGATCGCCCCAAAAGTTTCACCACTTTTAGTTACTCTGAAAGCTTGAAGTCTTATTTGTATATGTTTCTTGCAAAATGTGAATAAATTAAAATACCTGCATGGGGAGATCAGTTGTGTCTACGTGTTATATTTCTAAAACAACTTAACGGATTTTGACGTAATTTTTATATTACGACATGCATTGAAAAATACTGGCCACCTTAAACTGTGTTAACTGTGCAACGTTAACTCTTAATTTCCATAATCCAACTTATCTCTTCCTTATTTTGTAAATGGCACACTCCATGAAATTTAATAGGTACCGGTACATGACAGGTTATTAGTAATTATTTTCTAGTTTAATAAAACATAAGCGATATTCACGCATGCCCACTGACGCAAGATTTCCACAAGTAGAATTAATCTGTAATAATTCCTACCTAGAAACTGTTTCTAGTTTAATGTTAGTAGAACAGGAAGTAATTAAACTTCTTGTGCATTAAAATACAGTGAAGAGTATTAATTATAAAGGTCCTTGTTATATACTTTTAAAAATAACGTATTACTTCAGTTTGGTCTTTTCAGGTATTTCAAGGTTGTTATACATTATTTACGGTGAGAGATTATTCTGACGTCTTACTCCAAACTGGAGGTCCACACCTTGTCTCTTGGCCGTGACTACTTATTGAACTAAACCAAACGTACCATCCCCTATCTGAAAAATTGTGACGTCATAACCAAATGATAAATATATCTCTGTTACCTGTGATTGTTTACGTTTTGCAGATCGCTCATCACCACCACCACGTTCCCGTACCAGTACCTGTCCATGTTGATCACTCCCATACCGTTCACGTCGACCATCAGTCACCACCGCCACAGCACTACGGACCCAACAGCTGGGACTCTTCTGCTCCGGATTATATCTCCAGCCGGAACGAGTACTTGTCTCCAACACAGGAAAATGAACTGGAGAGCTGGGGGCTTATGTCTAAGGGTGCCTTTCATGTTCCTGCAGCGGCGCTCAACCCCGACTCTCAGTCGCTGGCATACAGTGCGTACGATCAATTTCTGGACGACCAAAGAGTGTCCAGAAGTGCATTGACTGTTACTGAACCTGCGAGTATATTTCTTCCTCCAAAACCAGAGACTCCTGCCAGATTCGATCCAAATATTATCTCACCACCGAAACAGTATCCTTCACCTCCTTACGTCAGTAACCAACAGCAGGAACTCTTACTTCATCAGCTAAATAACAAACAGCAAAATATTCACTTTGAAGGCCACGGTGGTATTCAGCAACACAAAACAATTCGAGTAGTAGACCCCACAGCTGTTGCTGAAAATAAACAAGCTAAACTACACCAAGAACAGTTACTTTTGGAACAACAAAAATATCAACAGCTTCTAAGACAGCAAGAGGCACTGAGACTCAAAAACCTGACACCGAGGCCTCCAGCTGAAGGCACTACAGTGCAGGTGGCGTATGACCCATTCTACAGCCCCATATTGCAGAAAATGGACAACGTATTCGTACAGCTTGGATTTAACGAGGAGGCGTGCAGAGAAAGACTGGTGTGCAGCATGTACAAGACTCCTTCCCGATTCAGTCCCCACAGCAACTTGATATCGGCAGAACTCAGCAGGTAATGATTGTGATGCATGTCTTGTAAGTTTAATAAGGTGTAAAGTTGGACGAAGCTTTTATAGTTTAAGGGAATTATTTTCTCAGCATTCAGGACACAAAGGCTAACCCGAAATTCTTTCGAAAAGTTAAGGCGAAAGCAGGGAATATAACATTTATTTAAAAGCTAATAATACAGTTAGAACATCTGAAACGTCGACAAAACATATTAATTTTTTAGAAAAATGTGTTTTAATTACGGCTTCCAGACTAGTTTTAAAATAGACCACGACCCAATCATTCCACATCACGATCGTCTGGCAAATAGGCTCTGTGGCTGTAACACGTGCAACTGAGAAGTTATCAGAAAAGAAAAGAATATTCCGTTCATACGTAATGAATGGCCTTAATTACGAGTAAGTAATTACTTCGTAGACCTCGCAACAAAGAAGTTGGAAACGTGGAGGAAGATTTTTAAGTGGGAGTCCATATCACAAAAACAATTCTACTGGATTTCTTTCTTCTATTCAACTGGAGCATATGGCAGGAAACCATTGAGTGCTTTATCGCCAGTAGATGAAATGAACTGTGAAAGCTATTGAGAAGTGTTGAATACTCAGAGACCCACAAAGACGTGAATAGTAGGAACTGAGGTCTTAGTTCGTTGTTCATTAGTTCCTTTTGGTTTTGAGAGCAGGTAGTCGACGTGATACTGGAAGCTTTTGCCAACACGGAATGTAACTAATAGTTTTCAGAGCTCAAGTATTTGTTTCCCTATGCTTCTATATTTCTTGGAGAAACGTAGCCGCCTTGTCATGGGAAGTTAAGAAACCTTTTTTTTTCCCTGCAGTTGGTACGACTCACAGGTAAGGCAATCACACTACAATAGGCGTACTATCCCCTTCATTGCTAGAAAAAAAAACATGGCCCTTATGTTCATTTAAATGTTATTTATCATATCATTAAATACATCATAATTCAAACATAAGTTATAAAGAGACCTATATTTTACTCAAACATAATTTTTTTTTAGAGTGAACTGCATTTAATGAAATTTATAGATCTTAATTTTGTTAGATCTTCATGTGAAATATGAGTTATAAGACCTATATTTTACTCAAACATAAATTTTTTTTAGAGTGAGCTGCATTTAATGAAATTTATAGACCTTAATTTTCTTAGATCTTCATGTGAAATATGAGTTATTTGACCGTAAAGTATCAACAATTACATATGCTCGATTTTTTTTTAGTTCATATATCTAGAACCAAATTTTATTAAAATTATAAATTAGTTTCGGGGACAAAACATACAGACTTCACGTATATTTATTTCATAAACTTGGAACAAATACCTACATTAATTCCGCAAAAGGACACCGTAGAAACGAATTAATACGCCGAGAACCAAAACATACCTCAACGATGTAACATTACGGTTAATAACCAACAACTGAAACATGTTGCCTCATGTAAAATTACCACAACATGAAATGGTTCTTGACTAAATGTGAAACGGTTGAGGGGAAATAGTCACCCTCCCCTCACACCCAATTCACCCGACCACTCGAACAGGTCTACACCCTACACCGTGTTTCACAAACAGTTTCCCTTTCGAAAGCAAATAGAACCATCCCTAATTCGACATTCAGAACAAATACTAATATTTACAAAGCAACAACGTTGCATCTTAAGGCTTCTGAAGATCGTGTGTTACAACAAACGTGACTATCGAGGGTGGATGTCTTCTGGGTTGTTGCGCTGTGTAGTCTGATCGATGTTAACCAACGTTTCAGAGGTCATACTGCGTCCATCATCAGGGCGATGAGTATGAAGATGTCTGGCTGCTGGGTTGTTGCGCTGTGTAGTCTGATCGATGTTAACCAACGTTTCAGAGGTCATACTGCGTCCATCATCAGGGCGATGAGTATGAAGATGTCTGGCTGCTGGGTTGTTGCGCTGTGTAGTCTGATCGATGTTAACCAACGTTTCAGAGGTCATACTGCGTCCATCATCAGGGCGATGAGTATGAAGATGTCTGGCTGCTGGGTTGTTGCGCTGTGTAGTCTGATCGATGTTAACCAACGTTTCAGAGGTCATACTGCGTCCATCATCAGGGCGATGAGTATGAAGATGTCTGGCTGCTGGGTTGTTGCGCTGTGTAGTCTGATCGATGTTAACCAACGTTTCAGAGGTCATACTGCGTCCATCATCAGGGCGATGAGTATGAAGATGTCTGGCTGCTGGGTTGTTGCGCTGTGTAGTCTGATCGATGTTAACCAACGTTTCAGAGGTCATACTGCGTCCATCATCAGGGCGATGAGTATGAAGATGTCTGGCTGCTGGGTTGTTGCGCTGTGTAGTCTGATCGATGTTAACCAACGTTTCAGAGGTCATACTGCGTCCATCATCAGGGCGATGAGTATGAAGATGTCTGGCTGCTGGGTTGTTGCGCTGTGTAGTCTGATCGATGTTAACCAACGTTTCAGAGGTCATACTGCGTCCATCATCAGGGCGATGAGTATGAAGATGTCTGGCTGCTGGGTTGTTGCGCTGTGTAGTCTGATCGATGTTAACCAACGTTTCAGAGGTCATACTGCGTCCATCATCAGGGCGATGAGTATGAAGATGTCTGGCTGCTGGGTTGTTGCGCTGTGTAGTCTGATCGATGTTAACCAACGTTTCAGAGGTCATACTGCGTCCATCATCAGGGCGATGAGTATGAAGATGTCTGGCTGCTGGGTTGTTGCGCTGTGTAGTCTGGTCGATGTTTACCAACGTTTTAGCGGTCCTTGTCCTTGCTGCCTGCATAGACAGGGCGATGTTGGAGGCAGGAAGGACATCTGAAACGTCGGTAAACTTCTACCAGACTACACGGCGCAACAACCCAGAAGATAGCAAACTTCAAACTTACCACCGTGAAAAACTCAAATCTTACAAACGTGACTATTATTATGGACATCTTGATTTCATGCGAACAAAACTTTTCGTACGCTGTATCTGATTTCGTCTGCGGGTATACAAATGTAGGAAAAGTTTCTACTTAGTTGGGCCCCCTAGAACGAGATAAAATCGGTCGGAAACGTTTCCGAAACGGATTGTCTAAATAAATCCAATTCGATGGATTTTGCCTATAATAATATCCATCAATTATTTATTTTAATCCGTCTGATCACAATATAATTTTTTATTTAAAATTTCTTATAATTAAGATAATAAAATATCATTCATGTTCCATATCGATTGATCGATTTACATTTCGGAACATTTACACAACATGTTTCGGTTTTTATAAAACCATCATCAGGTGTAAAATATATCTAAGAACTTAAAACTCAATTATGATTTCTGTAGTTTTTTGGTGATGTTTCATTACGTTTGTTTTTCCATTTTTGGGCGAAGGTGTTGTTTTTCTTAAATGTTATTAGATGTACATATCGGCCAAAGATGTAGGAGTGAGTGTCCCGATCCATGTTTAAGGTAACAATGTTTCAGCTAACAGAGACGAAGTAAAAGCACTCAGTTGCAACAGGCTTATACATTACAAGTTGAAGAGATTCATAATTTATAGTCTTTACAAAATGATATTAGAATGATCAAGTCAAAGTCATGACACGTAGCACATGGGAACTTCGGAGAAGACGTCGTAACAAACTTATATCTTCTTCTTTTATTGAAACTTGACATTTCGTAGGCTGAAAACTGTCTCCATCTTCACGTTTTATATATATTTTTTTAAAAAAATTAGGATGATGGTTTTTACCTGAAGACTGAAGGATGCCCTAACCTAATTAGATAATTTGTAAGATAAATTATTGGTTATTACTTATCTGAATATATTTCCCTTAAATAAATATTTACGTTCCAAGACCGAATGTCGCTGGTTTGAAGTTTGTGACCTAATCTAAGGTACAAAAATATATAATTTACATGGCGAAGTGAGATAAACAGTGAAATTTGCATTTGCGATATCCATTTTTCCTTTGGCATCTGAACCAGATACTTCTCGAAAGCAAGCCAGACGCTGTACCATTGTCCGAAACGTCTGTTCATGGCGGACAGAAAATTCGAAGTCTGTACCATGTCGGCTACCGAATGCTAGCCGACAAAACAGTGTTACAGGTCCATCTAAGACAGACGTTATTCATTAAATTACCTTGGACAGACATACGGGTATGAACTGGTGTGTCAGTTTCACAGAATAAGATCAATTGTTGATCTGCTCTGAACCTTGACACGGAGTTTCCGTTACGCCCCTCAACACCAAGCGAGACTGATCACATCGAGCAGAGAAGAAAATTTGTGTCACCGTTATACAGTCTCCAAGTGTCACTCACAAAAGCTCTGCGTTCGTAAAGTTTTAACTGTACAACAGTACAAAAGCAATTGTACTGAAATTAAAACATTGAAATTCACGAAGCGGTTATTTGAACTAAACTTATGAAATGAATTCCAACTGTCTTAATTCAGCACATTTATTGAAGATGGCTGTCTTCTGGGTTATTGCCCTGATGACGGAGGCAGTATGACCTCTGAAACGTCGGTAAACTTCTACCAGACTACACAGCGCAACAACCCAGAAGACAGAAATCTTCATACTCTGATGATGGAGGCAGTATGACCTCTGAAACGTCGGTAAACTTCTACCAGACTACACAGCGCAACAACCCAGAAGACAGAAATCTTCATACTCTGATGATGGAGGCAGTATGACCTCTGAAACGTCGGTAAACTTCTACCAGACTACACAGCGCAACAACCCAGAAGACAGAAATCTTCATACTCTGATGATGGAGGCAGTATGACCTCTGAAACGTCGGTAAACTTCTACCAGACTACACGGCGCTACAACCCAGAAGACGGCCATCCTCAAATTCATCGCCATGAAAAATTCAAATCCTACAGCACATTCATTCTTGAAAAACGTATGGTCACTAAGCCATCCAGTATGTTCCATGACTTTTATGGAACCTTGAGGTTCATTATTACCGTGTTCATAAAATCCCGTCACAAGATCCTAGCCTTGT